GGGAGCAGGTGCTTCGGTAGGAGTGCTGCAGCGACAACGATTTTGTGCTTAGCTTTTCCGTGGCCCCGTTGCGATTTGGGCAGGGACGGGTTCGCAATCTTCGCTGGTGTCTCGTGATGTAGACTCGATGTTGGGTGTTTCGTGCACTCTTGTGTAGCCGTGTACAACCTGCTCTACAACAGCGGTATCCTTATCCATTCATGCACGAACATTCAATACGTATGTGGTTGGTATGTTTTCAATGTCACCGAACGTGCTCGAAAAGTGGATTGGTCTGTAACCATGGCATGCAGTCGGACCTTGGAAATCCTTCTAATCTTTAATGCTCATCTTCGTTTGCTGACACTGAACAAGCCTTTTGATTCGTTAATATCTCGTGACTTTCTCGATGCAGGGCCAGTCAGGCTACATGCTTGATGCAGATGCCCGTCATTTTCCCCCTGTGCGATTGCTGTAATCGGCTTCGCCGGCGGAATAATGCTGCTCATCAACGCTGTCCAACACTTTTTTGTCCTGCCAAGAACGTCTTTGATCCTCTTCCCGTTCCAGCGAATCAGAACGTATCGGATTTTGCAGCGGCATAAACCGGAGCCATGGTAGCTGATGAGGACACCCTGGAACTTGCAAACGGCACGTTCTTCCTCGGTAACCGTGACTGGGGATCCAAGCTGTTTATCCGTCCTTGTTACGAAGAAATGGCAGACCCCATCTTGAGCGGTAAAGTGCGAAATGTTGTGGTCACAGGCACTCCCGGAATCAGCAAACCGATGTTCGGATACCATCTTCTGTACCTGCTTCGCTACGAAGGAAAATTGTAGTGTTTGAACCGAAGGGCGACTAGTACCGGTTTGGTGATGAAGGGGCGCAGGAAGGAACGTATTCTGAGTTCCGTCGAGCTGGGTTTACGCAGGACCCAACAGCTTGGTATTTGAGTGACTCGAAGGACCGGCTAGAGGATAGTGTCGCAGGCACAACAATTGTGTTGGTATCGCCTGACTTTGAAAGAATTTAGGAGTTCTTGACGCTACCCATTTCCAACCGAACATTCATTCCAGTGAAGAGCCTGGAAGAGCTTGTGAACTGCCGGCGAGTCGTTTCCCTAATGTTTTACGTACCGACTTGGTGGAGTCTTTCGGTGTAATTAATGGTGTGGCACGAGAATTCTTTAACGTGAAGAAGTTTGGGCTTCTCAAAGATGGTATATTGACCGCGGTGGGCGCAGTAGATGCGGCTTTGCTGAGACGGGCAGCTAGGCTTTCGAGCAGGCAGAACAGGATTGAAACCGGTGAGATAGGCGGTAAGCTCTTCCATATCTTGTCGAACTCTGCCATTCTGGAAACTTCTGGATTACGAATGGATTCGCCCACAAAGGCTAGCAAATCATCTCTTCCCCTCTCGGCAACTCTTCGTGCAATCAAATCACGCGTGTAATTGCTGGAGAACGTGACCGTGTAACCTTTGAAATGATTTGATTGCACGAAGAGTTGCCTAGGGGGGAAGCGATGATTTGCTAGCCTTCGCAATGCAAATGTTTCCAGAATGCTTGGAGGAGGAAGTAAGGTTGGCAACATGTTTGAACAATTTGCACACCACTAAACCAGTGGACTCCGAGCCGCCGAAGCACCGTTCGATATGGTAATTCTCAACGCTACCCGAAGTGAGGTTCTATCGGAGGAGAGTAAAAAATGGGATCAAAGTTTCAAGGAAATAGAGGTATTCAAGGGCAACAACGCTTCTTGAAGTATGGCAGTGAGATCTACTACAGGTCGTACAGTCTGGATTTCCCAGGGATTGATTCGTTGGCGTTGGCCAGTCGGTATGATATCTTTTGCTTTTTTTACATGAGGTATACAGCGCAGAGCCCATCGAGCAAGGATCTAAAATACCTAGTTTGTGGGACGCAGCTGTTGCATCCGAGGATGTGTTGGTCAAGAATTGTGTCATAGTTCGTGGTCGCAGAGAGCACCACGTTTGAGAAGTCAAGGGTGCTGAGCAAGTGTTGGCTGCGGGGAGCAAGTACTGATTTTGTGTCCGCGTGTAGTGTTTGCAGGTAGGTAGTCCTCCAAAACATTTCAAGATACATGGCGTTGTGTGTCGGCTGTGCAATGCAGCACGACGGTGTTGTTTCGGCGGTACTTGTCACCGGGTTGTTGCTTTCGGCAGCAGCGACTTGGAACGGTGGAGCTCACAACATTTGCACGTTGTTGGTGATACAATGCGTTTAAAGTCCATTTCGGCGATGATGTTTGCGGCACCACCACTCTCCTTCGCCTTGACTAAGATATTGAATTCAGTAAAGGACGGACCCTAAATCGCTGGCCGAGAGTCGTTCGGATCGCAACAGGTACATCCAGTCTGAAGCCGTGTGCATCGGAAAAATATCATTCGAGATGACGGTCCTCGAGAAAAAAGGTGCTGTTCTGAAGCCTTAGCTTCAGCTTCTCAGACCGATATCCATGTTTCATCCGACTCCCCCACCCCTTGCCCGACCCGGCCCGAAATGCTCATCTCGAGCTACAATGCAAATCTCGCGGAGTCTTGAGTTTGGTTCGGTGGGGAATCGCAGATCGTCACCCCTCCCCGAGTGTGAGGAGGTTCCGCCTCCTGTGGCCGACAAGTCGGCCTTGTCTGTGCCCCACCCCGAACGGGGCGGTTGAACAGACAAAAAGGGTCCGTCCGGTTGCAGTATTTTTTTTCTGCCACCTTGATGGTTTGTATCCCTCAGGCTGCTGTTTTCATGCACCCCAGCGGGCATCTCCGAGGTATTCGGTTTTTCTGTCTGTTAGTGTTCGACACCCGTACGCGTCACTCAATTCCCTAAAACGTGCACGGACAACAAAAATCAACTATCGTTGCTCTCGTTCATTAGCATGTATGTTCGGAATATATCTACATCGCACCATGTGCCGGCCTTTTATGTGTGTCTTCCATGCGCGTGGTCTATCTCGGTTTTTTGTGTGGTTGCTTTGAATTGATCAGTGAGCAGTGAGTGTTTTCGGACCACATGTCAAATGCCGCGATCACCGCCCTGGTCTTGCTGCAGTACATGGTTCGGTGGTGTGGTGCGCATCTACGCGGCTACACAGGTCTACGTCGAACGTTGACAAGTTCACAAGTTGTGCAACTGCTCGTCCCTCTTTCGATGACCAGTTGAGTATTACCGCTCCCTCCGCCAGTACTCATAATGTTGTCGGTGTGTGCCGTAACTGCCAGAGAGCCGCAAGACGTCAACTGAGGACACTTTCCATGTCGCCACACAGTACAGTTTTTATAGTTGGGCCACCTCTACCACGGGGGAAGCGCCTACGACATGGGCCTTCGCCCACAACTCTCCTTTGTCCTCTCTCCGTTCCTCCCATTTCCGGCTCTTGGAATACTTCCGTCGTACTTTTGTTTTTAAGGGTGCGCGAAGCATATGTATGGAGTCTCCGGTATATTGCGAATGCCGCCCGCTGCCGAGTTTTTCGAGAGTACATGAGATGGCCTCGATGAACATTGCTCGCCAACATAATGAGTTCACGGCAGGCAAAGAACGTCCCCTGTGTGTGTACATATGCGGCATAGGATTCGCAAACTCTCTCCTTTCCCAAGTATTTCATTTCGTCTGCTGCTGTGGTTTAGCTACTTTTGTCTTTTGTCCTTCTCGGTTATCTCCGCTCCTTGTGTGTTTTTTGTTCTTCTAACAGTTTGTTGGGATCCTATGGGTTCCCCCCGTCCACCACCAAAAATCCAGTTTCACTTGTATTGGACGGACGGGTATATATTCTGCTTTGCACAGACAGGTGGCAGCCCCCACACTGCAAGTTGCCGCCCTCCTTTCACATATACATATGCTTACAACACCCCTCCTACAGCAGTAGCTCAAACACACCATATGCCTTACTAGACACCCAAGGCGTGTGGGGGGGGCCATCGTCGATGAGCATGAGAACCATCCCCGTCAACTGCCCAAGTTCACCGCAGACGACGCTTTGTTTGTTTGGTTGCTTTGGGGGGGGGGGGGTTTTCTTGCCACATCCTGTCACCTGGTCGGGCCTACAGACAGGTAGGTGTTTTGCCCCCTCCATGCACTCGTTCACCACAAGAACAACAGTAGTTCTATTCCACGTTCAGACGGGAGGAAACAAACGAAGATTATACGCCCCCTGCCTCCCGCCCCTCCCGTCAATCTCCTGTCTCGCTCATTTTTTGGGGAGAGGAAAGAAAGCTGGACTGGGGTCCGCTCGCATGCACACAATGAGCAGAGCGCGTTCTGGGTAATCTCATCTAGGAGTATTTCGTTGTATTCGTGCGTAATCAGAGGTATGTACGTAATCAGCAAGCCACTGGCATTGTAGTAGGATTTCCTCGCCAGAAGAGACGTAGTGCATATAGACTACACAGGGGCGTGGGGAGAATGTTATTTTTTGTCCACTCGGTGCCGGTCGTGGACTGTTCTTTCTCGGGCGGAACTTAAACAACTCCTTTGCGCAGAAATCTTCTCGACACGAGCCCGCGAGCGTGATAATGAAGTACACGCGCCGACACCCAGCCACGATATCGGTTCGACAAGACCCCGACCGCGTGACCGCAGGAGTCACCTTGTACCGCTGCTGACGGATCGTCGTCTGCCGGGTTGGCTCATGGCGTGCGGTAGCCCAGTCCACCCTCTGTCGCCACCGTCACGGGAATCTCTCCTATCGTCGCCGCTCCCATCAACGGTGGTGTCGCTGCTCCGTTCGTGAGTGCGTGCGTCCCGGCCGTCCGCCGCCGCGGGGAACACATGACTGACGGTGGTCCCCTCTCGCCGCCGGTGTTGCTGCCGATGCTGCCGCTCCCGCCACGAGANAGTCACCTTGTACCGCTGCTGACGGATCGTCGTCTGCCGGGTTGGCTCATGGCGTGCGGTAGCCCAGTCCACCCTCTGTCGCCACCGTCACGGGAATCTCTCCTATCGTCGCCGCTCCCATCAACGGTGGTGTCGCTGCTCCGTTCGTGAGTGCGTGCGTCCCGGCCGTCCGCCGCCGCGGGGAACACATGACTGACGGTGGTCCCCTCTCGCCGCCGGTGTTGCTGCCGATGCTGCCGCTCCCGCCACGAGAGCCTGCTGCCCGGCCGTCTCCCCCGCCGCCGCCGGGGGAAACCCCTGCCGCCGGGGGTCACCACTCTCGCCGCCGGTGCTGCTACCGATGGTACCGCTGTAGCCGCGAGTGCTTGCACCCCGACCGTCCCGACGGCCGGCTTCGCGGGGAACACACGACTGCCGGTGGTCCCACTTCTGGCCACCGGTGGTGCTGCCGATGCTTCCGCTCCCGCCACGAGAGCCTGCTGCTCGGCCGTCTCCCTCGCTGCCTCCGCCGCGGGGAAAACCCTGCGGCCGGGGGTCACCACTCTCGTCCCTGATACTGCTACCGATGGTACCGCTCTATCCGTAAGTGCCTGCACCCCGGCCGTCCCGACGGTCGGCGTCGCGGGGAACACATGACTGCCGGTGGTCCCTCTTCTCGCCGCCGGTGCTGCTGCCGATGCTGCCGCTCCCGCCACGAGTGCCTGCGGCTCGTCTTTCTCCCCCCGCCGGCGCGGGGAAAACCCTGCCGCCGGGGATCACCACTCTCGTCCCTGATACTGCTACCGATGGTGCCGCCCCCTCCGCGAGTCCCTGAGCCCCGGCCGTCTCCCCTGTCAGTCCATCGCGGAGAAGCACTTGAGGCGATTTTTCGTGTAACTCTTTCGCGTTAGGTATTTATTGTAGTATCCTCTCATCGTAGGTTTTCGCCAGATTTAGCTCTTTGGCCTTGTTATCGTCGGCACCATAGCTGTTTTAGGGTCTTCATCACGGCCTGGACGCCTTCATTCTTTAGTCACTTTGTATTTGCTGTGTTCGTGCTCGAGCAGTTGCGGCTTTCCGTGAAAATACAAGGATCGCTTCAGACAGGCAACGCCGACGAAAGTCGTCGAGGAGTTGCACATCAATCAAGATTAAAGCTATCATATGGGTGACGAGTTCGCTCTGTACGGGGTTCCCGACGGCGTGGAACTAAATCGTGCTGTTTCATGAAGCTTGGCGTAGACCCTTCACTTTTTCAATCTCTCAGATGGAGACTCGCCCCTCTTTTGCCAAGGTGAAGATGAGTTTTGTGGGGCGGGGGTTTGCCAGAATATGTAGGCATAGTTGACTGTACGATCGTAGCCAGACCTGGCCTACGGCGGGGTTGGGAGGGTCGTCGCGAAACCATGTTTGCCGAGATGAACCTCGGCCACCGTCGTGTGTGGGGGTAAAGCTTGGCAACTGACGAAAGGCAATAAATGGCTATCGAGCAAGCGGCAGCTAAACCAGAAGATTTGAAACCCATTCGCGGAGGAAGTCGGTCCACCCTACCAGAAAACATTTCCTATCGGAAGTCGTTTCACCGAATAAAGCTTTAAACCGGGGCTGCTATGTAGAAAGGACTTCGAGAGCAGATTCAACCGGTCCATCATCGTAGTTGCTTGGCCGAACTCCGTGCAGAGGCTCGAATCCGGGACAGGTTAAACACCAGCCCATCGATGATGAAGTTGTGTGGCCTGCCTCGTTGCAGCAGCTGTTGTTGCTCGGCGATTTCAACCAGACCATAACCGGGGTAGTGTGGCCTGCCTCGCTGCAGCAGCGGTCGTTCGGGGACGAGTTCAACCAGTCCATCACCGCAAGCACACGATCCCTTTAAACTTTATCCAGCTATTTTTTGCTAGACGAAAAGCGCAACGTAGACGGGCCACTCTTCTCGCAAAAAATACAATAAAGAAACAAAGCATGACGGGGTTCTAAGTTCAGTTGGCGGTGAGATATAGTAATGTGTCTAGAATGGAGTGATTGATACAGGAGGCTGGTCATTGCTGTACTACCTAAAATGAGGAGGACACCTGTCGGAAGTATAACCAACAACCATTTGTGCACATAAAAAGTTAGGAGGATACGATCCATCGGGCGGGGTGACCTGCCATCGGGAGAGTGACGAGAAACATATCGCTGAGGTCTGTCTCTCACATCGTCTTCGACCTACTCTCCTTCCTCTACACCCCTTGCTGGTCACTCTTTCTACCTCTCCTCGTTGCATCTCAAGAAAGGAAATAGCCATAGCCACGCTTGGCAGTATGGGAACACTGTAACGGCACCGGCTCCTCTCTGACGTAACCTGTGTGCTCATTGGCATCTCTCCATCGACGCCGTTGTGAAAGGGGAATCGTCCTCGACAGACGTTGTGGAGATTGTACCTTTTATGAAGGAAGCGATCTCCACAAAAATGCTGATTCAATACCGGTCGTCCCGGCGGTCTAGTTGGCATCCTCGAATCCTTCTTCTAGAGGTCAGGTCAGGGGTTCGAATCCCGGCGTAAACGAGCTTTTCTTGCAGAGTTTTCCTCCTCGCTTCCGCTCCTGGCCTGGTGGATAGCGCTAAATAGTTCGAAAAAGAGTGCTGAACTCTTCCGGCATTCAAAATTGAGGCAAAGTACCGCGGGAGGGGAGGGTAGAGAGGGGCTCTTGCGTGTGGCCACGGATTGGAGTGAGAACGATACTATTAGTGCTGTGAACGGTGATGATTTGAAGTAAAGCCAAGAAAACGTACGTACGCAGCAATTATCACCCTGAGGAAAAAATAATAGCCATACACTTTCACAGCTCCAAAATAAGGAGATCTACCAGCCTAGGACACAAACTGGTGAAGCGTGAATGTGATGCCCTTGGCTCATAAAAATCGATATCACAAATCCCGAGGTCAATCGCGGCACGTAGTGGCGAGATACCGAGACTTAGACTTCAAAGAACTGGTCCGCATCACCTCCCGAACGGACACATTTTTCAGAACTCGAACCACCGTCGTGCAACGGTTCAGCCGTACAACCGTACCACCGTACAGCAGTTGTAGTCCACACACTCGCAACCCTGCTGCTGTTGCCAGCACGTTCTGGATGCAACCAGAGACCGCGCCTTTGCAGTCACTTATCGTGCCATTGTTGTAGTACCCCGCCATGGGCTCCTCTCTGCTATCCGAGCCACGACGCAAACGAAAGCGCACCGCCAGGGCGACTTCCTCCTTCAGGTTAAACTATGGCACCGCGGGGAAGAACGAAGGGAAGCGCTGCGCTAGGTGCCTGCCCTGGATTGCCGGGGTGTTCGGCCTCACCATGGCCGTCATTGTTTGCGTGAGAAACGGGTTCAAAGACTTGGCCAGAGAGAAAGCGAGGGACGCGCGGCTCGGGAGGGCAGAGGTCCACGCAAAGTCTCATCCTCTGGCGCTGCTCCTCGAGGGGCAGCACGATATCGGGTCCCAGGTACAGAGTAACCTGTACTATTAGCAGAGGTGCGCGTCGGCGGTGCAACTTGCTGAATTGACTTGGGTATTTGGCCATGTGTCTCACATAAAGGCCCACAACAAAGCATAATTCCGTTTCGCGTCTGTTTTCCAGGTCGTTGTCCCAAGCAAGCCTAGGCCGCGGCAAGCCGCGGCGCTACAAGTAGATTGCTGTGCACCGTTAGCGCGAGGTTGCTGAAGGTGAAAAGCTACACGTTGCGTTCTAGGTTGCTGCTGTACCGTTTGGGCGAAGCCGCGGCGCAAGCGGGGTGAGGGCTAGGTTGTAGGGCGAGGTTGCTGTGCACGGTTAGCGCTAGGTTGCTGTGCAGTGAAAGGCTAGGGTAGCACTGCTGGAGGTGTGCACACAGAACAAGATCAACAAAGAGAATATTCCGAGAACCTTGTTCATCGAAAAATGGGCAAGCATTGCTGCTGTTGAGTTTTTGACTTCGACGCCGCAAACATGTGTCTCAGTGTCGCATTACCCTTCAAGAGCATTCGTGTTTCGTCCTGGGATTGATCAACCTACGTTCGCAACCTACCCTACGGAGAGAAAGTTGCAGTCAACCCATCGTTCCCATACTTCGTTGTTCGCCGCTTCAGTAAATAGGCCACGGGGGCGACCCAGCTACGGTGTATGCGTTGACCTTGACAGATTCGCGTTCTACACCATGCAAGTGGGTAACGAAACTACTTTTTTTTTGAGGGGGGGGGCAATTGGCTTGTGACCACGGAAGGCGACCGCGTCAGTTGGACCGTACGGACATTAGAAGGTTCTGAGCGGAGACAGGGATGTTTTTTTTATTTGAGGACATCACCAACAATGTCTTGCGTTCGTTATCTGGTATCCACGGTCGTTTTAACCATTTCCCGTTGTGCCCTTCGCGTTTCCGCGGCTCCTCTATTCACCGCTGCTTTCTTTCTCCCGACGCATCGATACCTTTCGACGGCGACCTGGATGGGGGACGTGGAACGCAATGGGGGCCTCTCTCTCTCTTTCGGCCAAACCAACCGACACCGACGGAAACTACCTCCAGGCCGCTCGTTTCGCGGATCCGGATGGGCATTGCCTGTACCCCTCGCCCGGCGCTGATCAACCGATCGCCGAGAGACTGGGCGTGTTCACCTGCGTGGCGGACACGCCGTTCTTCCTGCGCGCCCTGGCGGAGTCGTTACGGTTCCGTTTCTTGGTGGTCGTAGATGTCGGCAGCGTGTCTCTTCGTCATGGTCTTCCTGCTTCGTCACCTGGGTTGGGCGTGGCGCTCACCGGACTAGAATCGGAGATATTTCCTGATGCACCGCAGCTACAGGCACGGCATCGTTTAGGGATAATCTAAGCCGATGGCATGCATTGTTTGCAATGCGATTCAGGGGTGCGCATTGGTAAATATCTGGTAGAAACGGACCCACTGCTGTACGTCGAATACAAGACGGTTGTCCATGTGAATATGCAAGGGCGTCTTGGAGATGTACAAGAACAACTGCAGTGAAGCTAAGTAAGGAATGCTACAATACTCACTTTCTATTCGGGTGTGGGCCCGTTCCGTGCACACAGACTCCTTCGGTGCATACTGCTTTCGAAGCGTAGAGAAAGCGCTTTGGACGATCTTCTCGTTCTGTGCCGTTAAACTTGCTTCTACTGCTGCTGCTTTCCCTGCATCATCCTGCATCAGGCGCAAATAACGGCCGGCGAGGATCCGCTCCCAAATAACGCCGATCTGATCCTCATTGATGTACACGAGGAAGTGCTGTCTGCAGATGACTGGGTGGACCTGTTTCGCTCCTTGATGCGGGTGCGAACGTGTGCCTTCATTCTGATAGAGTCGAGTCGAGAACGCTCGGTGATTTTTTGCGATCGGCAAAAGTCACGAACGGTGTCGCTGTGTATGGAGAGTCAAACAGAAGTAGTCGCTCGCAACACGCCCGATGTTTGAATGAGATAGTCACATGCTTGATCGAGGACGCGAAATTCTATTGTTGTCCAAGGGCCACCGTCACGACGAACCAGTCCAAAACAGTCAAGGGGTGGTAAACGTCGCCGCACTGCTGTGACCATGTCCTGTCCCGCAACCCCGAATGACATTTTGGTCCCATAGAAGCCGACGTTGTCCATATTGCCGCCCACGCGACCTATGCTGCAGGTGAAAACCGTTTTATGTTCACTCATTGCCGACATCGCATCCGTCTGGACCCTGCCAGGCGTTATCAGATGACGGGGTGATTGTCATCCGCGGCCCGCGGGAGCAAGAAGACGCGACAACGGGTGCGGGGAGGAACGAGGGAGCGGGGTCGACAATTCGCGCTTGGTACGGAAGCGGACAATTGTGGGACGCGGTGACGGCTCTCGCGTGCGACCAAGTTGCCGCTGCTGCTGCTGTGGGCAATTTAGACGGGTGAGCATGTCTCGTGCACCTTGGACATGACCCAGGTGGATTTGACGTTTTTCAACATGAAACGAAGCGGAGTGCTACACGTGAAGCTCGTATCCTTGGTCCCTCTTCGTGCTCCGGCTGGAGGGCCAATTTTCGTTCCACAATGAACATCTACACGTTGTTTATATTCGGACTTAAGACTGTTGCTTTATCGCATCACCCTCCCGTGTTTAAAAGACCTCGGGCCCTGCACGCGTGCCCAGTTTGACCCTCTCCTAGGCATCGGTTGCCCCACTTTCTTGCATGTCCTCCTCGATGCGCGCCCATTAACCCAGCGGCATCATCGTGCTACGACACGCAGCACCTGGCGAAATAGATGTAAAGACTGTAAAGGCGAGATGTGGCCGTAACCACCCAGGGCAACAAGGGGGGGGCGGCGTAGCAAAGGGGGCGGTGGCGGCAGCCCCACCACACCCATTGCGATTCGAAAGACTTTTCCTATGGTCGACCGCACAGGGTGACATTACCACAGTTACGGCGATCGAGGCTGTTCAGGCAAAGTTTGGCGGAGCTAACGCGGTGCGGAAATACGCCCGGCGAAGGTACGACCGATCGGCGTGCTTGAACACTTCGAACACCTTCGCCACCGCCGAAGCTGCGGCTTGGAGCGAACCATCGTTAGAAGCGGAAAGCATGGGCGGTGGGCACCTCCGCGCCGAACCGCGGCACATCCGCCACAAGAGTTTGCCACAAAGCGGCGCCGCATCCCAGTGGCACTCCGCTGCACGAGCGTGCCTGGAGACGCACTTGGAGGAGCACTCTCAGGATGTGCGAGCCGGGTTCGCGCTCGAGATGGTGCTTAGGGCGACCGGGGGCAGCGGGGTCGACAGGCAGGTTGCCCGCCTTCGAACGAGAATGACTGAAGAGAGTGGACCGGCGGGAGGCCTCCTTTGGCGAGCGCTGCACGCGCGCGCGGCCGGTGTGGCGGCAACGGGGCTGCTCCTTTAGTCACGCACTCTGAAAGCGCCCGGCGTACCCGTCTCTTTAATCGTCGAACTTGTTCAGGTAAATTCTGCGGCCAAATGATAGTTTCTGAATTTGGCCGTGTCCCGAAAAATGTGTATGTAAACTTTTTCGCAACTCGTCGGCTGGTACAAATGGAAACATGATGTTGCGGGAAAATCAACTAATAATTTGGTTGACCTGTTCTCGGTCTTGTGCACCCCTGGCGCCCCCCTCCATCACCGAACGACAACAAAAAATATTCGTTGTGAGAGGAATCACCTTAAGTCTTGTTGAATGTGGTGTGCCCGGTGACCATGTTTCACATGATCGACCAGTTTCACAATTAGTCGAGTCAATTGCTGGTGCATATTGGAGCCACGGCGATGAAGAGGCTTTGATCGCGCTCATGCTGTCGCGTTAACCACAGGTGGAACTTGAGCTTTCCCGATATTCAACCCCCCAGGCCCGCAGCTTCGAGTGTGTTGCGTGTGAAGCGCTCTTCAGTAGCTTCGTACAGCTTTGAAAAGACTCACACGACCCTTGCGTTTTGACCCTGCAGAAAATCGTTGTGGCACAAGAAAAGGCACCGCATCGAAGACGGCGCCAGCCGTCCGAAGACGTGAGGCATGATGGGCAGCCCCGTGGCTGGTGACTTCGTCGGGACATCTACCGAAGCCTCCGCTGGTACCAGCCAGAGTCTTCTGAAGACACCGCGTTCAGGGCTCGCTTGTGTGGGTACCCACGCTCTGCAGATGGACATGAGACCCGGCTCACGAGGCGGGCGGCGGCTTCATCCACACGTTTCGGTGTGGCTTTGTTGTACTACGATCACAGCGCTGATCGTACAACCTCCCAGATGTACGCGATCGACTTGCCGCCGGTCTCGGAATTTCTGCCCTCGCGCTCTCCTAGCAGAGCAAACTCCCAGGGACCATCGGATACCAGGCGACGGTCGGTTGTGATGACCTATCCAAGCAGAGGATGAGCGGAGAGAGTGAAAGACAAAGACAGAATCAGGGAAAGTGATAAAGCGAGTGTGAGAGAGAAGCGATCGACCTATAGGGGGAGGTTGCATCAGTTTGTTTGGCGATGGTCTTCAAGAACGGGATCCGTCGGATGTACGCAGTGAGACAAGCGTGGTCTCAGCACTCAGGCAGTGTACGGTACTCTGCACTTCGATCTGTTTCCTTGGCGTCCTTGGTGTTATAACGCCTACAATGGAGTCGTTCCTGAACGAGAAGTGCAAAGTCTAGAACGTTGGCTAGACGCGGAAAAGCACCTCCGCCTCTATTTTCGTTTTGGGGGAAGGTTGTGTCGGAATCGGCCTTCCCATTGATACCCTGACTAGCCCCGTTGTACAGCGTTCTCATACCTGAGCACCAGGTCGAAGCTTGTGTCCGAGGGTGTAGGAAAATTCGGTGAGGAGGTCGCCAAAGGCAGGGAACGAGCTGCTGTAACAGAACAACACGTCGATGTCGGAAATGTCCACCTGTTGCATTGCCCATCGGCCGAGCGCGCACGCGTTGTTTCCGAGTGATCGCCGAATGGGATAATTAGCGATGTTGACAAAGAAGAATCGACGTTGTTCGCAAAACGTGATCCTCGTAACCGAGCTGAAATCATCGCGGAAGGGTACACACACCCCGGTGAAACCGCCATGAATGTTGCTGCGTGCCATGGTGCCCCAGCTGGTGTTACTAGCACACACACACCGAGGTAAAATTGTACTGTTATTATCCTCTGTTGTCCTGGAACGTAGGGTACGCGGATAGATGGCCGATTTTTGTGAGCAATAAAACAATACACAGTTTCGAACTGGGGCTCCAAACTTTTCCGTTTAAGGAGGAAGCAGATTTTGAGATAAGAAAGTTTCCTGCAAACTTCGTGCAGGCAAACATTTTCAGATTCAAGCCGCGTCATGTGATAGGCTGTGGGGCAACAGTCCTCCTGTTCCACCCAACAAACTTCCCCTGTCCACCGACAGGTACTGCTTTTTTTGTGTGGTGCGCTACGTGGCAGCTGCACCCTGATGGCAGCACTCCCGCCACTACTGTTGAGTTTTCGTGTATGCAACGCGTGTGCGTGTCTCTGTCGCCCCCTCAACCCCAGCACACGAAATCGCACCACACCAGTACGGCGACAGGAAGTAATCATACTGGCCGGCACCTCTGAACGAAGTGCTATATATCCCACTTCTCAAGCGTTCGGGATTGGACAGGGGTTTTCGGGACGGGAGCACATCCAAGTCAAACGCTCTCTCCAACAAAACCAGAGAATGCTCTTGCGCGGGGAAGGACGCGCCCGTCTTCACCAGGAGGCCACTGCGTGCTATTCCTCCTCTCTGCTCTTCGTTGGTCGCGGTGCTGCCACCACCTCTCTCTACGTTGTCGGTCGTCATTGTTTCCGCGGTTCCGGCGCTCTTCTTCCCCCTTGCCTCAACCTGTGAGTGACAGGTGCTTGTTGCTGACCTAAAAGCCGCGCAAACAAATCCAACTTGGCTTTCTGACCGTGCAGCCCCCCTTTCGTGCTGGTGGTGCGCCGGTTCCTGTGTGTGCATATGGGTGGTGCCCCATGTGTTTCTTCGAAGAAGGTTGCCAAGTCGGAAACTCGTGAACAACTCTTCCACAAAACGAGCCTCCCTCCGCTCTTACTCTTGATTTTTTTTTCCATATCGTGGGTTCTGGGGAGGCTGTCAGGAGCGATCCTCAGAACGATGGCTTAACTCAAAAATCTGTCTCCTTTAGCTGGAGAATTGTTTTAGTGCGAAACTGTCCAATAGAGCGAAAAATTCCAAATTTCAATCCCGGGAAGTCGGTGCGGCTTACCATGGTATGCCTCTACTCACATCATCGTTCACGTCACCCAGAGATAGCGAGCAGGGCGCCATGGATCTCAACAGTCGTGAGGTTTCCGGGGAAAGTGCGTTCTCCTCTCCCTTTGCCAACCGATCGGCCTCTTGCAGGGCCGCTTGTCCCATGTCGTGGAGAGAAGGCACAATCTCGACGCCGCGGCAGGATTTCCACGGCCAGGTTAGAGCTTGCGCGACCACGAGACGCCCGCATCCAGAGCCAATATCGCCAAAAATGAGTGATCTACCAACCAGAAGCGGTCGATCCACCACATCGGGTACGGTCGTTCGGAGGATGGGGTGGGAAGAGTAGGTCGGCGATGTGTGTCGCATGAAACAACGATGAGAAAGCAAGGCTATCCACGTCTACATCATATATCCAAAGGGGTTCCTTCGAGAGTAAAACCGTGATGACTGGTTGGTTCGACTGAACTACGACTTGGAGCGAAGCCAGCGTTGTTGCAGGAGTGAGGCGCGGAGGGTCCATGTCTAGATACCACATTGAAATGGTGTTGTTCGCCAGCAACTGCTGTGACTGCTTGTTGATACAAGATAGAGAATATGTAGTTTGAGACTCAGACAAAGAGGGTTCGTGGCAACATCTCGTGGGCGTAAACTAAATGGCTACTTTCCTGTGATGGAGACCGACATTTTGTGAGGAGAGGAGTTGGGCGTGCATATTTGTTGTCAAGGGAAGAAGCTGTCGGGTGTCCTTTCTTGGCATTGTGTGATCGCTGGGGATCGCTTGGGATAGCTTGGGATTGCTTCCGATAACGATCTTGTCAGCTGTCCGGTTGAGGGAAGCAAAGTATTGGCACGAAAGACACGGACTTCAGCGGCATCACGGGCTCACCTCGCCTCAGCTTCCAAAGCACCGACACTGCTGTCGTCCTTACCGCTATTCCCGGCTCGCAAGTTGAGGCACTCGGCAACCAACGACAGGAAGAAGTCCAAATCGTATTCGCCGTAAGTTAACTCTCGTGGGGGCACCAACGTTCTCGCTGCGAGAGCATCCGTCGTCAAAAATCCCTGGGCATCGCGCCCAATTTCGATGCGCTCCTGGACGGGAGAGGCGGACGATAGAAGGCAGAGCATGGGCTCGAGTTGTGGGCGGGGTCTGACCGGTCGAGACGTGCCGATGATACGCCACCCTCAGAAATGTCCCCGCTGAAGTGACTCCACGGCACACAACACACACTTCTCACCTGATACGAGCCCCCAAAAAGAATGTCCAGGACGCCTGCTCTTCCATCTTCGTTCGCCAAAGCCGCAGCTGGAGGGTCGCAGCTCCTTGTCGTCGTACTCGGATGCGCAAGGATGGATCTACTGCTGCTACAACCACTTTCAAAATGCCGATGGCTCCGCGAATGGTGAGATGTGCGTGTGGGAGCCGAGGGCGTACTCATAAACGCCCTACAATGTGGTAAGGCAAGGCAAACAATCGCAACAAGTGCGTTTGAAATAGCCATGCTTCGCCGAGGATTCAGTTATCAGCTATCAGCTCACTAACCCCTCTCGTCCACTCTCAAGTCAGTTGTAAATTTCGAGTCTGTCAATTCGCCAGAATTGACAGTCTCAAATGACACCGCGTAATTTTTCACACCTCTGCCCCGTGCTTCTGTGAGAGATTCGAATCCCACAAGGTTGAGAGCCACAGAGAGACGAGTTTACCAACTGACCCACTGGCACCACCAGTTGTAGTCGAAAGTCACAACGTGCCAGACGCAAGAAACATGAAAACACGGCCGGGGACAGAGGCGGACCAATTACGACCAAGGGGCACCGCGAATTTCTGGTGCCCCCAGAAGCGTCCCTGCCGATGTGTACTGCAGCTGTAGCACTCACTCTCGCTCACGTACGGCAGTACGAGCATCACAACGACAGCATGCTCTCCCGTCACACAACCATGGGGCTTCTACTCTTGCGGGCGACGAGCACGCTAGCATGGGTACCGGCGCAAAGATCAGGCAGGTTCGCTGCCGCTTGCTACAGGCGATATCCCAGCAACGCCTCTCAACCTGCTTCGGCGATTGGCCTCTCGTCTCCAAGCAGCAGCAGCAGCAGCAGCAGCAGCAGCAGCAGCAGCAGCAGCAGTGTTAGCCTTCGAACATTTGCAACAACGACGCCAACATCAGTAGGAGCTGGAGTCGGCCAAGACAGAGATAAGCAGAGATCTAGCGAAGATGACGGGAGTAACGAGCAGCAGCCGCGGAAAGTGACGACAACAGCAGTCGTTGACGGGCAGGAGAGGCAGCAGGGCAGCGGCGTCGAAGTCCAGCCTCTGCTTCAGCGGCATATGGAGAAGCTTGGGTCACCGGATCGACGAAAGTGAGAGGCTTATCTCCGCATCGCCATCTACTCCCCAAAACAGCAACAGCTGCATATTTCACAGATGTACCGCTTTGTGGCTCGCCATGCGATTGCGCCGCGTTTTCATGGCCGTTGGGTACATACATCGTGCTGATGTAGGATGCAACACGAGCGGTGCGTTGACCCCCACTCTTGTTGACGATAGCACCGGCGGCTGCACCGAGTACTCTACAGAGCACCCACAAAGTGAGATATGACCGCTTGCCCTGCTTGCAGGGCCTGCTTGCAGGGACTACACCTAAAGAGTCACTAAATAGCAGACCGTAATTAGACCTCATTCCCGTCCCAAAACCTGGACAACCCTCTGCATTAACTCTGACTGATTCGGCGGCGCCCCGTTCTTTGACTCCCTCTTGAGTGGCGTTTTGCTGCTTGCATTTTGTTCCGCCCAGGGTGAAGACCCGGCAACACGTTAACCCGCTCGCAGCCACGTTCCAGGCGCCTGTCGTCTTGCCGGAGCGGTGGTTTCAGGCGGCCTTCCGGGATCCAACCGCGCCCTTGCTAGTGGACATCGGTGAGATTGGCTACTTGAACAGCCCGTGCTAGATCGACCCCCGACAAACGTTTTTTAATCCTTCGATATGAAGTCATCATGACGTACATGGCGACAGGGTAACGGAGGCATACGGCGTGTCAAAACCCGCTCGCCCAAAGAGGAAAGCACTCCTGAACTGGTGTTCCAAGATCAACGAACTGATGGCGCAGCCTAGGCGCTTTTCTGGACAAACACTATTATTGCTATTGCTGACAACCCTCCGTCCAGGGGCTGACGGTCCGTGGCGGTGAGCACGGTTGTGACAAATGTTGGATTCCGCTTGGTTCCGGCGCAGATTTCGAACCATTGTCAGAGGCTGCTGCGACCTTCGATATTGCAGCTCCGGTAGCAAACCTGAACGTGCCACTACGCACGACGCCTCATGGGTGTCCTCCACTGACGACAGTAGAATGCACCAGGCGGGAAGGTTGCTTTCTCTCTTTATGTTGGATTTTAAGTATGAAAATAGAGCCAACGTCAAAATCACTTGTCTTAAACCCCTTAAGTCGAGGACTATTGTACCGTAGTAAACCCGCAGTTCAGGAGATTGGGGTCAGTGGCGGCAAGCACAAGCAGAACGAAGCACCGAGCGCCGTTCTAATTTGCGGAGATATGCGGGAGATTGAGGGCCACTACTTTGAATACGACCCTCGATATCACCACCACAGAAGCAGATTTGAACGCGCCAACACAACCTCCCCTCTGCTATAGGGTGTCCTCTGTGAGATTGGTATTAGACAGGGGCCGTGGGGTAGCCGACTCAATACCCTCGCAGTAGTCTATGTCTGCGATGCTGATGCACGAATGCTGACACACAGCAGCATGAATCGGTTGTAGTGCAGTTACGTGCACCAGGGACAGGCGTGCGACGGGCGCGAAGAGCTGCTTGTATTTGCGGGCCCTGCTCAATAATTTGCACTTCTACATGCGGCAGTTTCTTTTCCGATGCCACACAGCAGTACACACACACGAAGAAACAAGATATGAAGTCTTCCCGCAGTGCGGACGCAAGCACGCACATCGGCAAGAGGCACGCGTTGGGCACATACCTGGCGACGAGTGTATCACACATGACACTACCGAGGAGTACCACAGCAGCGTAGACATAGGGTCGTGACAGGCAGATGCGTGACAGACAGAACGCTACATTGCGTCAGACCCACACCATACCCGTCACATCCATCTCAAGCCTACCGATTTTCCCGCGAAGTGAAAGCAAACAATCTACACCGCAGGACATTACTACCACACATGCGCCAAAAACAAAAGCCGTTGATGGCCATGACTCTGACGCGAGAACCCACAGCAGCAGCAACAGCGGGCAGGGCAGACGGCTTTGCGAAGACAGTCAGTAGCGCAGCGCAACCTGAACCGATCGCGGGGAACCATCGTGAAAATGCACGGCAGTAGACCCTCACGCCCTCGAAGGTTTCTCGCTCGATCGTACGTCGTATGCTCTGGACTTCGGAAGGTGTGTATTAGTGTGTGTGATCTCATCACTCTGCCGTTTGATTGTGCAGTCAGTTGTACGCACTCAACATCAGCAAACACCTGCCAGGCTACACGTGGCGCATGACTAACCCCACGGCGCGCAGGTCGTATAGGCCCAACCCCCTGGTTTCGATAGCTGGCCTCAGATCAGCGTCCTAGCGGTGATGCGTTTTGTCGTTTTGTGCCGGTACATTGCGTCACTGTCTCTCTGTCTCTTCTGCTGGTTTGAATCGCGCGCGCGTCAGATCTTCGCTTTGTGTTCCCCCTTTGATGTGCGGAACACGGGGACGGGAAGAGGAATCTCCAACGAATTTCGGGCACAAATGCCTGTGAATCACGGCTATCTCTCGCCGAAGCACGACCAATCCGCTGTGACGAAGAGTGCGCTAGTTTTCTCCCTCCTCAGAAGCCAACAGATCGCAAAAAGGTGCCATATAGATATCGTTCTGATGCCAAAAGGTGGTTACCGTATTCAGGCTTCCCGGAAATCAAGTTGGGGCCCCTGCATCGCGTTGGACCACGCCGATATTTTGAGCCTTTTTTCCCCTCCTGGGACGGAGGGAACAGAACGGTCGCGCGTCGCGCCCCGCGGCTCATTACAATGCATCAGATACTTCGCAAAACCGACCTTATTGGAGCGCCTGCCGTTTTGGCTCTTTTGACGTGAATTTTGAAAAGTGTGAAATTGTTATCTTGATTTCAAAGGGGTCGTGTGGACGTAGACGCGTGAAATGCTTATTTTGAGATTGTGCATGTCCTGGTGCTCCTGCGTTTGTTTTCAAAATTAAGCAACGTGAACGTTCTTTGTCTGCGATCCCTTAACCTCGGCTTATCCTCGGCTTATCCTCAGCAGCTTCGGCTTATCCTCGGCTGATCCTCAGCAACCTCGGCTTATCCTCGGCTTGTCCTCAGCAACCTCGGCATATCCTTGGCAACCTCGGCTCATCCTCGGCTTATCCGAAGTACCCTGGGCTTATCCGCGGCTTATTATCAGCAACCTACGCTGAACCTCAGCAACCTCGGCTTATCTCTCTGCAAACTCGGCATGTCTTCGGTAACCTCGGCTTAACCCTGGCTTATCCTCGGCAACCCGGGCTTAACCTCGGCTTGCCCTCAGCAACCTCGGCTTATCCTCGATATAACCTCGGCTTATCCTCCGCTTGTCCTCAGCAACCTCGGCTCAACCTCGGCCTATCCTCAACAATCTCGGCTTATCCTCAGCATTCTTGGCTTATCCTCGGCTTGTCCTCAGCAACCTCGGCTTGTCCTCAGCAAACTTGGCTTTTCCTCGGCTTATCCTCGGCAACCTTGCCTTACCCTCGGCAACCTCGGCTTTCCTCATTATCCTCCGCTAATCCTCGGCTTATCAACAAACTCGGCTTATCGCCAGCAACCTCGGCTTGTCCTCAGCAAACTTGGCTTTTCCTCGGCTTATCCTCGGCAACCTTGCCTTACCCTCGGCAACCTCGGCTTTCCTCATCTTATCCTCCGCTAATCCTCGGCTTATCGTCAACAAACTCGGCTTATCGCCAGCAACCTCAGCTTGACCTTGGCTTACCCTCAGCAACCTCGGCTTATCCTGAGCCACCTCGGCTTAACCTCGGATTATCCTCAGCAACCTCGGATTATCCTGAGCATACTCGGCTTATCCTCGGCTTGTCCTCGGCTTGTCCTCAGCAACCATCGGCTAGATTGAACCGGTACAAATTTGTCAACCAGCAGGCCCAGAGAATCTTGGTCTACAATAGCTTAGGGAATTGCTTTCCCCACCCGCTGGCTAGGAACCACTCCTAACAATTCGTTTCCAACTCATTCCCCTTGCACAGGATGCGCGAAGGGTTCCTTTGTGAGGGCAATGGCCACGGAGCACCCGGAGCGGAACTACTTGGGACTGGAAATCCGACGCCCTACGGCGGCGTTGGCCTTGGAGAGAGCGGCGAGGCTTGGGACGCGCAACTGCCACGTTGTTTGCTGCAACGCAAACGTGAGAGCCATTTAGTCGTCTCCTGTGGTTGGGTCGTCACACAACGCGGAAAGTGTGTTGTGTATTTTTTTCGCATCGACCGCGCTAACCGGCTGACCAACGACGACGTCAGTCTCAGTGCGGTGGAAAACACAAAATGTTTGTACAAGTGTAGGCAACGATCTGGACCCTGGGACCGAGCGTCATGGGGGAGTCTACGCTACTCTCCGGATGAAAGACCCGTGTGTGTGTCTGACGCGGTGCTTGTTCGCTTTGTCTTGGGATGATGGACTTACCTTTACATATTGTGAGGGATTCCTTATGCAAGTCTTGAGGAGCGCACGAAGGGAGTGAGGCGGGGGGGAGGGGGTGTACTCTTATGTTTTGCATGCCTTAGCGGCTAGACCATTGACCACGCGTCCTCGACAGGACGGGGCATTGTTCCCACAGGAACGATCACCAATGGTCAATCGTTCCTTTCTACTTTGCCAAAGGTGGCTCAAAAATGTCTTCCCTAGTCTGTCTATCCTAACGATATCTCTTCCTGCCTTTTCAACCCACCTCCTATGCCCCAGCTCAGTCACGTACACTTCCCTCTCTTTCTTGTACAACGGACATTCCGCGACTACATGAACACGGTCTTCGCATTCGAAGCCGCAATCACATTTGAACTCGTCGTCTTCCTCGTCTACCGTCCTATGTCTTCGTCGACGTTCTCGAAGGCCTATGTCCCCGGTCCTGAATTTGACCTTAAGCTTTGTTCCTGCATCCATTGGTCCATGTAGGTAATCCTTGAACCCTATTCCTTCCTTCANTTACACTTCTATACCCTCCTTATCCTTGGATTATTTCCTTAGATTCTGTTCTTCTCCCTCGGCACAAGCAACAGATATCTTCGGGGGGGGGTTGTCATGCTGTCCACCCGTGTTGCAAGTCCCACAAAAAGTATGACAAAGGGGCTCAGCGAAAATCGATGGTACCCCGCGTAAGCCCCCATGATGGGTTGCCCAGCGCACCATCTGGTGCACACCTTTGTCACTGCTGGTACTCCTCACACAGATAGCTACGTGCCATGAAACTTGCAGGATACCTCAAGCATATTGTGTTCTACACCCGCAGACATTTGGTTTGGTCTGTTTTCGCTCTGAACCTGGCAAATGCCGTGTTATCAAAAGTGAAAGGGCTGCTGCTTCAAGCCCGTTCCGCAGCTCTCAGGAACAAGCTTCACGCTGGTAGACCTGGGCGAAGAGTTGACGCACTCGCTCGAGACTTCGCCAGAGTGGATAACATAGGCATAGGTAGCAATGAGGGGTTGGCGAAGGGATCGTCATCACGAGGGTCGCTTCAGTGAACCCCTCTATGTCCTATATGTCGACCAAACACGCGCCGCACGTCTACCCCCAATTTTGTTGGAATTCTCTGCCAAGTTCCTCCGCAATTTGACCTTTAACGCTCTAGACCCGCTCAAAAAACGATCCCGTCCAAATTTTTTATGGCACCACGCTGTACAGACATGCCTAAGGTTGCTTTAGAAGGTTGGCCACATTCGGGATCGCCACTGCAGCCGGAGTTGTTGACGAAAAACGGCCTGTCCCACAGGAATTCGGCGGCTGTGGGGGCTCCGCGTGATCGATTCCTTGTCGTATTAAAAAACAAAAAAAATGTAGGGACTTGCGACACGGGTGGTCTGCGTTTTTTCCCGTGGCGAACCGCGCATCCCCCCCGGCGGGGTTGGTGATGGTTTCTGGTTTCATCGTCGGAGGAAAAATTCATGGCGGGGAAGGTGGCTCGCTGTTGAACATGTCTTTCGTTTCAACGCTGTTGAGGGGTGTGTTCGATGTCGCAACTTCCCGTCTGGCTTTCGTTGGGCAGCCGGGGGCACGTGACCATGTTGTGCGGCTGTTTTGCAAAGAAATTTGCTCGTCGGCCAGCGTTCCACTTTGTAGAGAACTTTTCTTTTTTTTGTTAGGCTTTGTTCCCTTGATGCCATTGGTTGACCGGCTGTCTCTCTTCGGCTTGCAAATCATTTTTGTTTTTTCGACTGTCTTTTCGTTGGGACGGGACTGATTTTCACAGGTAGATCTGGACGCCGTGCTAACGGAAGCGGCACAACACGGGGCCTCGATCGACACCGTCTGCATTCAGTTTCCGGTGAGCCTCTTATACTGTGCGGTTAATTTCTCATGGCGCCTGTTTGCGGAAGGCTATCATTCCATATTCTATCCCTCTATCGTAGCCGTGCTTGCCTTGTCGGGCGATCAGCAGCAGTTCCGCATTGACTGCTCATTCGAGCTCTAGTGCAGACGCCCGGCCGTTGTTGTAGCACAATGGCTGAAGAATTCATCTGAGCGTGACCATTATGCAAGCAGTGCCAATACGATGCAGATGTTGAGACGCATCAGCCTCTGTCCTGATTTTGTTTATTTTGCCTCGTGCCCCTCCCACTCCCACCTGGGTCGGTTTTCCATCTGAGGTATGGCCCCCTTCGTTTGGGTGCGTTTTGACCACCCTGTCTGCGTTTCGATTCTACCCTGCCTGTCGACAGGACCCGCACTTCAAGACCAAGCACTACAAGCGGCGAGTTTTGCAGGTGAAGATGACGTGTCCCTTTCCAATGCTGCTTTTGTGGGGGTAATTGTGATGGGGGTGGCGTTGGTCCTTTGTTTTTTCATCCGATAGGCTAGTTCTTCAAGTCGCTCTTGGTATTGATGCCGTTGTTGTTATTGCTGCTGCTGCTGCTGCTGCTGCTGTTGTTTGCGTTGTATGATTGTGTACCCAGTGGACTACCTCTCTCGCTCTCTCTCGTTCTGTCCCTCACACGCAACACACACGTTCAATCTTGGATGCTTCTTCTTAGCTGCTACTGCCCTCTCCGTGCCAATGGCAGCTCTCTTCCGCCTTGTGAAGGGCTGTTGACAACAATGTCCCTCCCCCCTCTTTTTGTTTTTGGCCCCTTCTGTGTCCTGCAACTCTGTTTTTGACAGCCGGAGCTTGTGACGTGCATTGAGAAGCACCTTGAACCCGGGGGGACTTTGTTCATGCAGTCCGACGTTCTCGAAGTGGTGGAGGATATGCGGGTTATCGCGAGGGAGACGGCCCGTAAGTATCGTATAATACTCACTTTTCTTCTGGTTGTTGCTATTGTTTTTAGTGTTTATCTTTCACCTTGTCTGGCCTTCGTTTACTGTTGCTGTCCACGGTCTCGTGAGAACGATACTCGTGCAAGGGTATGCACTACGCATGGCCTCCGGTTCGGGCACTAACCCTCCAGCCCCTTCGAGCATCCCCCCAAGAATCCATGCTCCTTCGGATGCAAGCACAGCATTCTCAAACTGGGAGCCTTGATTTCCCGGAAAATTGTACATTGTCGTTCCTCGCTGATCGCCGTCGTCCCTGTTCCACATGAGTCTGGTACTCTGCACACGCGAATTTCTGTCCCTCTGCTGCGCGGTGACGGAGTAATGAGCGTCCGTACTTTTGGTTTTCTTTTGGAAATGTGTGCTGCTTTCGTCGTGTCAGGGGTGCTCGAGGACACACGACCGGACATGGAAGACTGGATGGAAGGCCCGGATAAGAACCCGTTCGGGGTGAGCGGATATATTTGTTTTCACGGGATACCGGGAACGATGTCGCGGGTCGACCTCGGGCGGTCCGTTGACAAGACGCATCGCTTTATCGCATGTTGTCATGCATCTCAGAGAGGAGGTTGGGTGGTTTCCTATTTTTTCCGACCGCTATGCAGGGTCGCATCTTCAACACCGTCGGACGGTTCTTACTCTCTTTGGTAGTGCAATCCGTGCAATCCAAGCGACATCCAGGAGCAATAATTTCTCCGCCGACGCGCGACCGAGACGAAATGCTGTCGAGTGTTGATAGTGGAAACCCCATGTCCTGCTGACTTCGATGGTGATACATCTCATACTGTTTGTTGCTGTTTCAAACTTCCCGTCCTTGTGACATCGATGGTGTTGTCTCATGGTTGTTTCCGTGCTTTTGTTGACGCTCTTGCCGCTCCGACTGCTCCTGTACGCCGCCGCCTCAACCCCCCTCCTCTTCGCCATCGGCCTTAGTAGACGTATGAGGGATTGTTTGGACACCTGTCGTTTTAAGCCAAAGCAAAGAGAGTTCGAAGCCCTCGTAGCGTGCTGCTGAACCCCTGTACACCCTTCCCCATGGTCACTGCGCTGAAAACGATTGACCTGGTGTTGTGATGGATTGCTGTAGTTTGGACTCCGGGAGGCGTTCACGCGCTACTTTTATTACGAACTCCGCATGTTCGACACGGTTGACGAAGACGGCACCTTCCCCCCCCCCCCC